TAAAAGTCATTTAGATTTAGGTCAGAAAATAGACTTTTGTAGATTTATGAGTTTTTGAATGACTATTTTTAATTCGATTTCAAAGATCGATCGGTATATAATAATCTATTGTCGGAATAGTCTTGTTGGGATTTTTTTGGGGTAAATTAAAAAAATACTCGTATTTCTCTTAATTTTTTTAAATTTTGACCATCGATAATTTCTACAATTTCAAAATATGGAGTACTATCTAAAATTAAATCTACTTTCAACTAAATTGATACCTCATTTATTGCAATCGATTATTCAAAAATATTCAAGACGGTACTAAAGGAGGCTAAGCACAATGTGTATACCAAAGTTGGTCGAGATCGGTCAAGTAGTTTTTGAGATATGCATATATCATATAAGTGGGCGGTGCCACCCCCATTTTCCTAAAATTTCTGAAAAACCACTTTTTTGCTAAAGAGCGATTGTATATATCAATTTTGAATAAATATTGATGAAATCTGAAATTCCGACACATACACACATATAAATTCAAGGCCGTATTTAAAAAAATTCGCCTAAACTCGACAAATTTTTAAGCGATTGCAATAAGTGAGGTATCTGTTTAGTTGAAAATAGATTTAATTTTAGATAGTATTCCATAATTTGAAATTGTAGAAATTATCGATGGTCAAAATTTAAAAAATTAAGAGAAATATGGGTCTTTTTTTGATTTACCCGATAAAAAATCCCAAAAAGACTATTCCGACAATAGATTATTATATACCGTTTTAAAGGCCTATATATCCTCTTCTCAGATCATATTCGATCTTTGAAATCGATAATCGATCATAAATAGTCATTCAAAAACTCATAAATCTACAAAATCCTATTTTCTGACCTAAATCGTCAGGTCGCGATCTCTAAATGACCTTTAAAACATCTATAAAAATAGGCAATAATATTTCTTATAAAAACGAATAAAATTAGTCGGTAGGGTTTTGAAATTTCCACAAAAAGCATTTTGGATGGGCTCAAAAGTCTGTAACCGGATTTTTCTGCTGAAAACTACGAAGACACATCCAAAACAGAAATATAATATTATTTTTATAATATTATTTCATTATTTTGTGTACTAACACTGTTCAACAAATTTTTTTTTCTTGTTAAATTGAAAAATATGTAGATATTTAGGGAAAAATAATAAACACAGATCATCCACTATTTCCAATAGGTCACTTCGTGTTCTAAACACTGAAAAACTAATTCATTGTACATTGATAATTGTAATTATGGTAACGGGCCATAAAGATTACTTAAAATAGAAACAATAACAAAACGGTACAAGGCGCGATAAAAATTTTATTCGTCTATATAATCATCAGATTCAGGTTGTGTATATTCAAAATTCTCTCCTAAAAGCATGTCTTTTACTTTTGGATCAAATGATTTTTTTTTACTGTTTGTAAAGGTCTTAAACTCGTAATATGAGGACCAGAAGAATAAAGTAGACGATGAAATGCACCTTCAAGGTTAGCTTTCCTTGAAGTTTTTCGGCTAAAACGTTCACGATACGCTTTGAAATCTTTATTTCGCGATTCGAAAAAAACATGCGGCAGTTCAGAGAAGTTTCTTCAGATGGGGGATTAATAGTGTCGAGAACTTGTTTGGTTTCACTGCGCTTTCCACTAGCTCGCAGGCTCGTTTGTGCTGCGAACGTTAATTGTTCGTGGGAATAATCTTGACGAAGCTAGGCAGTTTTCCTACGTTTTGACTGGTCACTAAATTCTCCAAAGTCTTTAGTGAGCCTTCCTCCTTTAGGTATCTGATACACCACGAATTGACAAGTTTTTTCTAACCACGCTTTTTCCGATTCATAAAATCTATTTTTGTGTCTACCGCATCTGATCCATTTTAAGGTAATGTAGCTCTTGAAATTGCGCAAGTACATATATTTGCAACTTCTTTCTTTTCGAAGCTGGGCAGCTGGTTTCGCTTAAAATATATTGTTCCACATCTCTGAACTTGCATTGTAGTAATTTAGACGGGCTTTTAAAAAATATTTCACACAAATCCCGATTTTTAATGGATAAAAGGGTTCCGTCTGGAATAAAAGTTAACAGTATTGAAATAAAGAATAAATACATACGGTATATACCATTCTCTTCCATTTAGTTTTAATTTTTCTTAAAACACTCCCACTTGGAATATATTTTTGATAAAATAATGACATGACATAAATGTGCCTGACAAAAATTAATAAGTTAACGTTAAAACATATTTTTCTCAAAAATGCGCAACGTTCTTGTGCAAATCTTCTAAGTTTACTTATATATAAAGACTTGCGGTTATAACAAAAAAAGATTCGGAAAAAGAACCTTGCGCATTTTGGAAAAAATACGAATTTAAAAATTCACTATGAAAAAAAAATTGTTTATTAAAATTTTGTCCTTATATATCAGAAACCATTGAAATTATGTAATGATGTAAAGTTGTAAAACAATCAGCACACATTGCTTATTCAACGACATAGTTCCTTCTAAACTAATAGTAACCTTAAACATAAAAAGACAGCCTTTAATAACACATATGAACTCGCTTTCGATATCGGAAAAAAAATTTTCTGACTGAAAAGTTAAGTTTGATCTGTTGTACGCGGCAACTGGTAGTAGTTCGGAACCCAATGTTTATACACGAGATTTGCTACTTTGTTATGACTCTGCTGGTATATATTTTATATCTTAAATACCAACTTTCGAAAAATGAGTTTTGAGCATCGCCCTCTATGAAGAAGCCCCAGTGTGCGGCAATGGAAATATGCCTTCTGACAACCACCAAAATGTAATATTAGAAGATAAATGCGTCACTGTAAATCATGAACGTAAACTGTTGGTGAAAATGTTGAACCAAAATGTTTCAATACAAAAAAATAATTTTGGCGGGACGAAGTTCCTGTAAGTAAACCTGTAGTTTTTTTTTGTACTGAATATTAAGAAGTGGTGTTATACTTAAATTCTTTGCAATTGTTTGTAGTTTATTGTGTGAAATTTCAAATCGATCGATACACAAACGACTGAGATATAGCGAGTTTAAATTTGTTAAAATTATCATCAAGAATCAGTTCAGCCTAATAATAAAATTTCAAACAAAGTGAAAATTTGTACGACCGAGCACAGGATGGTGTTGTCTAGAAATTTTTATAGAGAATGAGTTCAGCCCAATAAAAAATTTCCAAATAACGCCACCCTGTAAATAGCAAAGACAAATTTGAACAAATGTACCAGTCGCGTTATTTGGCTTGATTCAAACCGAACATTTGAAAGCACACTTACATGTTATGCCTGTAGCTGAGTGCGCAAAGATGCTTGCTACAATTAGTTGCGGCCAAGAGTGTCCAGGTTCAAATCTCATTAGGCAGAACATATAATTTAAAATTTTTATTTTCGGTTTTTTAATTATGAAAAGTATCTGTGAAGTTCACAACGAAAAAAGTGGCTTATTAAAGGAACAAGTTACGCAGCGGGAGTCAATTGTCACCTCCTCACTGAGCCAAAAGCACAATGGTTTTTGCAACCAAGTTATGATTTGATTTTTTCTTTGTCAGCAAGCCCACTGTAAGAAATGTGATTCAAGTTGAACATTTGAGAACAAATTCGTATGTAAGGCAGTGGCTGAACGAACAGAGGCTCTTGCTGTTATTTGTTGGCTTCCAGCAGTACGAATGTCGTCAGCGCTACATAATTTTTATTTTTTTTTTCTATTTTTGGTTTTTCTTAATTACGAAAAAGCCTCTGTGAAGTGCTGAACCAAAACAAACGACGAAGAAATTTGATTAAACTTGAACATTTGAAGACACATTTATAAAGCGGCTGTAGCTGAGTGTGTAGAGATGCTTGCTGTTATTTCTAATCTATGCTAATCCCGTTTTTTTGTTTTGTATCTCCAAATTATGGAAAAGCATCTGTGAAGTGCAGAACATAAACGTATTCAAACGAAAAATCGCCAACCAAACGTTTGGTTAATGTGAACAAAATTGTGGTTAATATTACCAAATCATTGTTGAAAATATCAATCAAGGCATTGTTAATATTAACCAAAAGTCACGTTGATTCCTTTTCAAGCTTGAATTTGGTAATGCGACATTAGAAAGCATGGGTGGTAGATTTGCGAGGTACCGGTATTCGACTCCCGAAAACTGGTAAATTCACTAGTTCTGTACTAGTACTTTCCGCTGCAGGGTATTCATATATTTAGTCATTGTTGGGACAGTTTCCTAACGGAAGGAAAGCGACCTGATCTTCTTAGAATTTTGAACGAAAACTACGCCAGCTGGATGTGAATTAAAGTTGTATATTGCATAGTTTCAACGCATTTATGTGTGCTAAAATTCCTATTATGGATAAAAACTTATACTTAATCAATTTACGAAATATGATATCATTAAATTATACATACTTTAAGGCAGCCCTGGGCAGCGTGCGCACGGCGGGCTACTTTGCGTTGTATTCGCGTTTACATACACGCTCTACTTGATAAAGCAGCGAAAGTTTCATTCAACCCCGAACTGGTGAACCGAATTTGTAGTTCCGCACTAGATCTTTATCGCTAAAAACTAACCAGTCCTATAGTAACTAGATCGCCACCAGTTCAAAAGCAGCAAGATTTGGTACTTTTAAAAAACAATTTTATTTTTAGCAATCTATATCTAAAATGACGAATTTGGAACTGGCTCGAAACTATAGAAAAAGGGATGCAGAACGAATTAGATTTGAATTCGAATTTTGAACTAGTTCGGAACTACCAAAAAAGGGATGCAGCGGGGGCTTGTTTACTTTACATAGATTTCTGCTTGGCGGGTTTTTATTTCAAATACGCTTTCAGTCTGCACTTATACTTTGCAGATATATATGCAGATATTTTTTCATAGTTTGGTAACACAAAACTAAAATTTGTGGTAACAGTTTAACATTTTGGGACCTGCTGGAATCTGACCAAAAACAGCAAGCACCTTGCAAATTCAGCTACAGCCAAAGGTATGTAAACGTGTTTTCAGATGCCCAATTTGATTTACATTCATTCAAACAAATCTGATTTCAGATTGAAAACACATTTCTTTGCAAATAATTAAAAATCGCGACCATGGTAAAACTAAAAAGACTGTTTGAAAACATCTTGTTACTTTTACTGGTTCGGAACTATAGAAAATGGGGTGCAAAGCGAACTAGATCCCATCTGTCGAATTTAGAACTAGTTCTAAACTATAGAGAAGGTAATGCAACGGACAATTTCCAATTCCTATGACTTCGCCGTGTTAAATTCGCCAGTTGTTTGCATGAAAAAGAGATTTATCGCGAACTAGTAGTGAATCTAAATTGACTAGAAGCGCACCAGTTCAGAACTAGAGATTTTCCCCACAGAGGCTGCACGACTTGTTCGCACGCACAAAGTGACATCAATTGCACGCACACTACAAAAATGCTCTGCTGAGGCTGCCCACCTCTGCTTTAAGGTAAGAAAACCAGGACGTATGACGCAGTCTTGATTAATTGCTTATGAGCTACTTGTATGCACGAACTAAGTAAAGTATGAATTGGCGAATCAAATTGGCGCAATTATAGAACTCGTCTTAAGACCCGTGACAGATGTCATTTTATTTTATTGAAAATAAAATAAATATTATTCTAGAAAAATAATTAATTTTAGAGAGTGGCGGCAACAATCCACCCCGTAGTATGGCAAGAAGTTTTCTCTCGCCCTACTCCACACTTCGATACACATCTAAAACCGCAATCCTTGAAACCGGTCGGTTTTGTATACAACTAATAGTCTGGATTTTTGCACTACGTACCTGCCCGACCTTTGGTAACCTCGTTTCCAGAACCTTGCCTCGTGGCCAGACATTGAGAGGGCATGAAGGGTCAACCACAACAACTTAATCCCCGATACACAATGGCCCCACCTTCTCATGCCACTTTGTCCTGCATGTTAATGTCCATCAACCAGCGTCTCAAAAACATATCTGCACACCGTTGGGATTCGACCCAACTACTTTTTTGCACACCTGCGCTGTCGTCCAAGAGCGCATATGGTTTCATGCCGCTTGAGCTCCCCAGCAAAAAGTGTTTTGGTGTGATCGCTTCAGCGTTGCTGTTATCGAGAGGAACGTACGTTAAGGGCCGCGAATTTTTAATATTTTCAATTTCAGCCATCATACTTCTCAAACGCTCTGCGTTTGGCGAGCGAGTAGGTGTTATTTTATAGATGACAGTTTTTATGGAGCGCACTAAACGTTGCCAAGCGCCTCCCATATTTAGCGCAAGAGGCGGATTTAGGGTTAGGACGATACTACTCACCAGTGGTCGGTCTTCTATCACATTGTGGTAGATCTGCCACTTTTTTGAGCATCTACCACACAAGGTCTGAAGTCTACCACATATTCGCGTTTTTGAAAAGTTTTTTTGCTCGACATAATTTTCTTAATTTTAAGAGCAACAATTGTCCAACACTAAATACTAACAACAGGCAGAACGGGGGGATAAAATAAACCGAAAAATAGTAAATTTTCTCAATATTCAATTTTTCGACAGGAAACATGGTTTTATTGTGTTAAATTGCAAATTATTAGAAAATTTCAGTGTATCTAAAGTTTCTAAAGCGTTGTTTACCTTTACTTGAGAATTGTCAAAATCGGAAAATCCCAAGTAGCGGTTTCTGGAACGGGCCACATTTGTCCGCTACATCGTGATGTGATAAAAAGAAAAGCTGGCAGCACTCCGCAAGGTTGTAGAAATATTTCATAATATGTTCGAAAAATATATGGAAGGAACTGCTTTACACTGTTAAGGAAACAAATTTCAAAAACTCAACGGAATTTTTAGCAACTTCAATCTTGCACTTTATTATACTAAAATAATTTTTTCTTAGATTCTAATTAAAATGTTTGCAATTTAGGTGAAACCTTGCAGAATATTTTTAATTTTTTTACAAAGTTTGATCCAAAACCTGAGATCTACCACATTTTTTTCCAGATTCTACCACAAACATTTTTTTTTCAAGTCCGATCACTGCTACTCACACAAATACGACACTACCGATACTTTTTGTTCCTTTCCGAGTATCTTTGGCATCGATGCTTTAAACGAAATACTCGAGTAAAAATATCGATACATTACCTCGATACCCCAACATTTGCAGTAGTGGTTACTTTTGTTAGTTTATATGTATTTTTGCTATCTGTAATGCGGAAGTCTATAATATACAGTTGTCTACAAAATAATAGGAGTGCGATATTTTGATCGTTTTGGCTATTTTTCTTTTGTTTATTTAATGTTTATTATTTTTTTATAAGTCAAGCTGGTTATACAACAAACACCATATAAATTCAGATTTCAAACGTTGTACAAAAATTATAAAAATTTTGCAAATTTTCACCCAAATCTCAAACTTTTTAATCAGAATCTTTAGACAAAATTGTGGTATGCAGTTTTGTAGCCCACTTAATTTTAGTATAATACAGTGGAAGTTTCAAGTTGCTAAAAAATCTCGTTGATTTTTGAGAATTGTTTTGGTTGAAGGTGTTTCACGTTTTTTCCATGCAAAGTATGTCCGACAATTTTCTTTTATATGAAGGACATTGCCAGCAAAAAAAAAAATTGCCAAAAATCAGCGGCATTTTTTAGCAGCTTGAAACTTCCACTTCATACTAGAGTTAATTGGGCTACAAAACTGTATAGGAAGTGAAAGTACGAACAAGCTCGGTTCGATTCACTTCAGCTACGGTTTGGCGCAATAGCCAATAAAGTTAGTCCCGTTATTTTAATAAATTAATAAATTAATCCCAACGGCTTTTTACCCTCCATTCCCGCCCAACCGACACGAGAGGCGCAGTCCGCATGACGTACGGAACCTTTTTTTNCTATATATTTTTTTAAGTCGGTTTTTTTTGCTAAAAATTACTTGTTACACATACATACATATGTATTAGGGCGGGTAAATTTTTTTTCGTCATCGTTCCTAGCAGATTCGGATTTTACATAAAATTCTAAGAAAAAAAGTCCTTTAGACCATAGCCCTAAAACCAATTTCGAGCCTGCGCAATTTTGAAAGAAAATATCTTTAATTAATACTAAGTCAATAATCAGATTAATATTTACTAAAGTGTTACGAATGTTTTTTTTTTTTTAATAAAACTGGTGCTCCGGACGATGGGTGGCACCTCCCATAGTGAACATTTTTAATCAGCTCTAACTTCGGAAGTATAGTCACATGAACTCGAAATTTGAAATGCACAGATACCTATAGTAGGTGCTCATAGAAAGATATATGTATATAAATGAGTTTGTAAAAGGGGGCGTGGCACATCTCATAGGTGTGGAATCTTTTATCAGCTATAACAGCTGTTAGTGATCTCATTGAATTGCATTTTGAAGATTTGTTATAATTGATCAAAGTGAAATTCAAATAAATTATAGATGATATGAAGTTCACCGGGTCATCTTCTATTCTTTAATATATACTAAGTTAATATACGGAATATTTACTAAAGTGTTACGAACGTTATTTTTTTAATACAATAAGAAAAAAATAACTACAATTTAAAGGACAAGGGCTAGAGTCGTCGCATGTGTGTATTCTTTCATATACATATATATGTGCCATTCTTAGCGTTATATATTTTTCATCCACTCGCTTATTCCCTACCTAAAGTTTTAAATAAAAAATTTGACATCTTTACCCGCTGATACAGTACAGGTGGCAGTTTAAAATGGGTAACAGGGTAATATTACATTTACATTGGACCAAAATGCGTGATTTGAAATCAGTCATTTGAAGGTGTTTACACTGCTTGATCCGCATTTGCTTTGACTTCTCATCAAATGAAAAGGGAAGACAAAAACAAAATGTATGTAAACAAACACTACATTTATTATATTGTTAACGCTTTTTGGACACAAAAAGGCAATTATTCTTTGATTAAACTAAAAATGTGTAAAGCTCTTGTATAAATTAACAATTTTTACACACAAATTTCAAAGATTTATTTATTTCGTTGTGTTTGTTTTGTGTTTGAAAAATTCCAAATGTCAAAGACAAACCAAAGCTTTTGTGGAACTTTTGTTTCTGAGTGCGTTCAATAAAATAGTACGGCAATTGGAACGCATTTGTTTCGTGATTTTGTGTAAATGCGTCGAAATGCGTCATTCTGGAAATGTGAATTTGTATGGAGAAATGCGTGATTTGGCCTCGCATTTGAGGTTTCTCGCCCAAATGACGCATTTGGGCTCAATGTAAATGTAATATAAACTTCTCCTCTGGTTAAATTAATAAGCCTGCCCGGATAACACAAAATCCTAATATTACATTTACATTGGACCAAAATGCGTGATTTGAAATCAGTCATTTGAAGGTGTTTACACTGCTTGATCCGCATTTGCTTTGACTTCTCATCAAATGAAAAGGGAAGACAAAAACAAAATGTATGTAAACAAACACTACATTTATTATATTGTTAACGCTTTTTGGACACAAAAAGGCAATTATTCTTTGATTAAACTAAAAATGTGTAAAGCTCTTGTATAAATTAACAATTTTTACACACAAATTTCAAAGATTTATTTATTTCGTTGTGTTTGTTTTGTGTTTGAAAAATTCCAAATGTCAAAGACAAACCAAAGCTTTTGTGGAACTTTTGTTTCTGAGTGCGTTCAATAAAATAGTACGGCAATTGGAACGCATTTGTTTCGTGATTTTGTGTAAATGCGTCGAAATGCGTCATTCTGGAAATGTGAATTTGTATGGAGAAATGCGTGATTTGGCCTCGCATTTGAGGTTTCTCGCCCAAATGACGCATTTGGGCTCAATGTAAATGTAATATAAGCTTGATAAACATTTGGTGTTATAAAAGTTTTATAAAGCTCTACTTGTAATTAGGAAAAATGCCGAAAAAACGTTATAAAATTGATTGATGGATAAATATAGAGAGGGAGTTATAGCTATGACAATAGGATGTAGAAAAATGATACCTCGAGTTGAAAACAAAAAGGATCT